TGCCCACTGCTGTTCGATAGCTGAGTGAGAGTCCGGCGAGCCTCGTCTACAAAACGAAGCTGGTCACCAGGCACAACTGTCTGCGTGAGATGTTCCAGCCTCTGTTCAATGCGAGTCAACAGCTGCCGATCTGCAGGCGAGAATCCCGTGGAACTGCAGGATGCACCACATGCCGAACACATACCACTGCACCTGTTACTTTGGCCAGGTGCGGGGTCCGCAGGGACGGCTCCGCTCTCCAGCTCCTGGGCAGGCGGCCGTGGGAGCCGCGGCGCTGCAGGGTCCGCAGGGACGGCTCCGCTCTCCAGCTCCTGGGCAGGCGGCCGTGGGAGCCGCGGCGCTGCAGGGTCCGCAGGGACGGCTCCGCTCTCCAGCTCCTGGGCAGGCGGCCGTGGGGGCCGCGGCGCTGCAGGGTCCGCAGGGACAGCTCCACTCTCCAGCTCCTGGGCAGGCGGCCGTGGGAGCCGCGGCGCTGCCGCCAGGTCTGCTGGGTCACTCATCGAGTCTGTCAACAAAACAGAGAAAGAAGGAATCAGACATCAGCTCATAGCAGCTGAATGCAGGAGCATACAGGCAGTGATCAGTGCAATGGAAATCACTACAGGCTGACACGATGTAAAAGCCTCAGATTATTTTGTTTACAAGCATAGGAGTGGATTTCTGTTGAGTTGGGGTTACCCAGGCGTAGAAAATCCGCCGCCGTCCTTAGCGATGACCTTGACCCGCGCCGTCTGCTGCGGTTCCAAAGCTAAGCCTGCTGAGCCGGCGTGTAATTGCAGAGCTCAGGCAACCCAAACTCGGCAGAAATCCACACCCATGCTAACAAGCCAATATCACGATAGCCTTGACCACAAAGACTCTATATCACGTCCATCTTCCTCCTAAATCAGAAAGCACGCCCAACTGTAAAACGTAGAGCAGATTCAAATGCTGCAGCAATTCCAGCTTCTACTGTTAAGTTAACATTGGATTCCCGTTTTTTTCCCGTTTTCCGATCACGGCTGGGCTTTGTTCACACAAAGCCATGTCACCGGCGTGCCTATTGGGCCCCACTTACCTAGTGAAGAGTCGAGCCGCGGCGCTGCAGGGTCCGCAGGGACGGCTCCGCTCTCCAGCTCCTGGGCAGGCGGCCGCGGGAACCGCGGCGCTGCAGGGTCCGCAGGAACGGCTCCGCTCTCCAGCTCCTGGGCAGGCGGCCGTGGGAGCCGCGGCGCTGCAGGGTCCGCAGGGACGGCTCCGCTCTCCAGCTCCTGGGCAGGCGGCCGTGGGAGCCGCGGCGCTGCAGGGTCCGCAGGAACGGCTCCGCTCTCCAGCTCCTGGGCAGGCGGCCGTGGGAGCCGCGGCGCTGCATGGTCCGCAGGGACGGCTCCGCTGTCCAGCTCAGCAGAGAACGGAGTGACCAGGCGCTTTTTGGCTGGGCACTCCGAGGCAGAGGAAGAATCGAGGTGTCGTTTTTGGCGCCCAGTCGTCACCTGTTCACCAGCTGGGCCAGGAGTAACTGGGAACAATAAAGGTCAATCAAATTTTGCTGCATTATCTTAGCTTAAAGAATGTAGCTTGACGGTAAAATGTTATATACAAGCACAAGACACACAACTCAACACAAGGTCAACAATGAGCATTCAGTGAACAGATGCTTACATTCAGCCCTTTTTGGGATGACAGCCAGTTGCACCCTCTCGGAGATTGCGACGCTGGGAAGTCTCTCAGACCTCAGTGGAACTGGGCGAGTCTTGAAGACCACAGGGCAACTCTTGGATGCCACAGCATTGCAGCGTGTATCAGTGGAGCTTTCAACAAAAGAGCGCCCTTCTGATGGGGCGCTACTGCTGCTGGGCACAGGACGACGTCCCTCACAAACTGCAGCCTCGGGACAACTTTCAGTGGATGCTGCTGCAAGAAAAGAGGAGGCAGGGAAGACATAGTCAATAACAAAGACCATGGTTTGAGCAGTAGCTTTGTACAAGCTTTTTAAAGTTCTAATTGAAACAACTTGTTTGTTTGACATAGCTTACAGATCTCACTTAGGTCTACCCACTGGAAAACCTTAAATGTTTATTGTTTGAACTGGATAGACAATAGTGCAAGAAAAGGGAAAGGGTGGCATTGCCCTCTGAATGGAACAATAAAATGGTGGAAATGGCACTGCCTGGCACCCCAACCAGTCCAACTGACATCACAAGTAGATGGAGGATAAGAGTAAAAATTTGGAGAACGTCGATTTTCCAAATATTTTTACTGGACAGTGATTGGTACATTATTACATTGTCATAAAAAGGAAATGGCACTCAATAGTAGGTATTCATGCCATAGCTTGAGAATAACAACAACCTCAAGTGCATGGTTCAGCACTGCCCTTTGATCCCTTCCAAATTTCATTGAATGAAGTTCCAGTGCAAGATAAAGTAGGTAGATTGACTGTTACAGATAGTCAGAAAATGGATCTGATCTTGCATGCCAGAAGATCCTGCATAAATAAGCTTAGAACTACAGGGCAACTACTTTTTTATGACAATTTCATCATGGGAATCTTAATAACTGACATGGACCTTCCGTGCACACTGCACAAAATTTCTAAAGAAAACTGACAATACTGACATGGAATGCTTGATAAGTACCTACCCACTACCCAGCCAGCACACCCCCAAGTGGGTCCCATATAGGTTTGGTATGAGCAGACGCCAGACCATGTGGATTGTGGGCAGTGTTCTAAGATTGGATATTGGTTGGGTGTGCCGATGAAGAAAAAATCCTAGGATGAAAAAAAAAGAAAGTAAATAACTGCAGTATTTTTGCAAAATGGTGTAATGCCAATTTTTATGCTAACTGATAAACCAGGATTTCATGTCAGGATCTTGACAGGGTGTGGAATAAAAGGATGTGGGTGGATCAACTGTCAAGTGACAAGTGAACTGGCTGTTGGGAATACATGAAACTCTTTTCAGAGATGAAGTAAAGTTGGTCATTCATATTTTAGGGATGAAAATATTTTCCCCATTAGGTGTGATTTGCCACCAAAAAGGCTGAAAAATGAAACACTGATTGTGGGTCCCAGTGGGTTTTGTCACACGGCTCCAACTGGGTCCCACGTGGGACAGTCCAGATTCCTACCACCCAGGTGGGTCCAGCATGCAGGCCCCAGATGTAGCCCATGCGGGACCCACCAATCTGGGCTGTCCCACATGGGACCCAGTCCAGTTGGAGCCATGTAACAAAACCCACTGGGATCCACCTGCCGGGCTGCCCATATCAGCCCATACCTAATGCAACCCACTTGGGTGTGCTGGCTACATCTAATGGGACACAGGGGTCCACCACTCGGTCCTAATATATACTAATACCCAAACTTCATCTTCACATTTATTGAATGACCTTGGGTCTCACTTAAAAAAAAGAGCAATTTTGGAACTGGGTAGCCCTTTACACCCACATTTTTTATATCCAGGGGAATGGCCCTGATGATTCCATGTTCAACTACCAAGTTGAAGTGTAAGACCATGTCTGAACTCAAACTATAGTTGATATCCAGGCTATGGATGCATCTCGGATAATGGAAGTTAATCCTAGTAGGTAACTGTTATGTCAAATTATTTACACTATTGCTTCTTTCAAACACTTACCATTTTGATTTGCCTTTTCATGAATCCAGCTACACCAGCGTCCGCCAGTGCCGAACGAACTGTTGCTGATCTTCACAGGCTGACCTCCATGAACTCGTTTGTTGTGACATTTGAGCGACCGGCGCTGGCCATTAAAGTTACACCCTGGGTAGCCACAAAACACTTTTTCCCTTGAAGGAAACACCATTTTTACGAATGCCTACATACAGCTGAGCTTGATCACTATGCGAAATCTACTTTTATTTGATGGAGTCCATCCAGCAAAAAGTCAGGCCTAGGGCTTGACTGAAATCCAAGTCTTGAGTCTCAACCAACGCAAACCTCACTGCGCTCTATACTCAAAACGTTAAACGCACAAAAATAACAGCACATCACGCATCTAACGCATGTAGCGCGTAGCCGTGGGACACGCACGCCGTTTCTGCGCCGGTTCAAGGTTCGCATTGGTTTGAAAAAGCATGCAAGTACTTCAAGAACTCATGAGTTTTGTCATAAAACAGCAGAAAGGAAGCAATTTGCCAGTTAATACTCAAAATAAATAAATTGGAGCGTAGAAAATAGGTTTTGTCTCAAAAATAATTTTTCGTTAAGTTGTCGTCAATCAAACAAGTAATTTATTAGGTGCTTGAGTGTCATGCGAACAAGGAAAACTGTTCTGAATTTCGCTAGCTGCTAGCGTTATTTTGTTTTTTGTCTTCTCAGTGGTCGTCAATGCAGTTGCCATAGAAACCAGCTGTAAAGGTAGTGTCACGTCAGTCCGCTGAACATTCTTTAAAGGTTGTGTCACGTACGGGCGTGCGCGTACTCCTATGGGGCTAAAACATTGAAGTACGGGACTGAAACTTTCACGTGATTGGCAGCGATTGGCCGACGGCAATGTTCGGGGCAGCTGGCCGACTTGGGCGCTAGGAACGGCGGATGATGCGGGCGGCACAAGAGATGGGTTAGAGATGCAACTTTTCAGGAAATAGGTACCTATTTGTCGATGAAAGAAACATGAAATTTCATTTCTGTTGAGGATTTTTTTTTGTTAATGTGTTTTTTTTTTCACTGATTTTTTGTCTTCTGTGTCACGTACCCTGGTACGCGCGTACGCGGGTTTTTGCACCTCTGGTTGAATTTAACGTTAAGGGACATTGCAAAGGCTATTGATGGCCACCGTTAACCAGCTATAATAATGACAGAGTGCCTCATCATTTGTTAATCGTCTTCCAGTAATCGCATCTAAGCAAGGCAACGCCTTAAAGCACCTTTCCTGGTAAGTATGTAACGTTTATGTGCTTTGGAGGCCTTATGACACTGGATGGTATTACGGAGTGTGTCAAATGGGCGTGCTTTCATCCAAGTATCACATTTAACAAAAGACTTTTGTGTCCTCAGGTATCACTCAATCAACGGACTTTGCTGGACAATCTGTGCAACGTCATCATTCGCCACACCATATAAAAGACTGAATCCAGCCCTCCTGCTCGGATTCTGCGGTAAACGGTAAGTTAAGGAATTCGGGTACCTACATTCCAAATATTACCTATACGTTCAGTAAGTCCAGGGCATAATCACTGTAAAATTGCACTATTTTGGTCTCAATTTTCAGCTCCCTCTGTAAAAATGGCAGCAAGCTTATCAATATTTTATTCAACTTCTTGTCAAAGTTGCCGACCTTTCAACAAATGTCGCATCGAACCTCATCCACTGTGTTTGATACCGCTTGATATCTGCAGGTGTAATATGTTCCGTCCACCACTGTCTCTACCACACTAAGGCCCGTGTTTGTTGAGAACCTTGGAAATGTTGCATCTTCGCAGCCCTTGGTAAACACCAAATGATGCTGCCGTCTGCAGGGTGGGACGCAGGAGGCCACCGTTTGGTATTACCATCGTCTTTCTTTCGGACAAAAAAAAAACATTGACACTTCACTGGCAAATAGGGCCCTGAACGGACCCCAACAGCCCACGCATGTCCACTGTCCAGTCCCCTCGACATCGTACGGTCACTGACCTCATGCAGTTTCTTTCTCGTATCCACTTGAAGCGTGACCCGATTTATGAGGGATTAAGCAGGGATTAAGGAAGTATTTGAACGATTCCGTAATCGGTAGCTGATAATGGTCTCCTTTCAAAGGTCTAATCGAGCCTTATCGAAGTGTATATCACGGCCTGTCTAATTGCTCGGCACGGCTGACCACGGTCGTATCAGCTATCAATGCGCCATTATCCATTGTGCACGACTCTGGCCCCTGCCCAGCGACAGTGACCAGTGACCTCCCCAGTGACAGCAGTCCGTTTTCCTCCAGATCACCTGGCGTGTGACTCCTGGCGATAGTTAGCTCGCACGGACACGAGTCACTACCTGTCGGCCATGGATCCTTGCTGTTCTCTTCGATCTGTGGTAGCCACTGCATGGTGACCTCAACGACCCTCCCCACCGACCACCGCGCCGGGAACTTCGCTTAGTCAGCCCTGGCACCTGAGCGGCGCGATATCTGATCAACCGCAGCTCAAATTCAAACTGCCGCCGCGGGCGCTTAGCCGACAGGCTGAGGGAAGTGGCCGACGACTGTGACGGATGGATGTGGCACCTAAGAGATTCTGACGGGCGAGTTTAACAGTAACACCAAACGGGAGACTGCAGCGAACCAGCATAACACCACCGAGAGACTGCGACGACCGAACATAGCACCACCAAGAAACTGCAACGACTAAACATGTCACCAACGAGAGACTGCGACAGACGAATGTAACACCAACAAGAGACTGCGATGGATGAAAGTAACACCAGCGAGAGACTGCGACGGACCAACAAAGTAACCAACAAGAGACTGCAACTAACGAACATAACACCGGTTAGAGACTGCGACGGCCGAACACAACACCAGCAGGAGAGTGCAACTGCCGAACATAACACTTATGGTAGGCTGCGACGGGTGAGCACTGATGAGAGACAGAGAGGGCACTGAGAGAGAGAGAGAGAGAGAGAGAGAGAGAGAGAGAGAGAGAGAGAGAGAGAGAGAGAGAGAGAGAGAGAGAGAGAGAGAGACAGAGAGACAGACAGACAGACAAAGAAAGAGAGAGTCAGAGACAGAGAAAAGAGAGAGACAGAGAGAGACAGAGAGAGAGAGAGAGAGAGAGAGAGAGAGAGAGAGAGAGAGAGAGAGAGAGAGAGAGAGAGAGAGAGAGAGAGAGAGAGAGAGAGAGAGAGAGAGAGAGAGAGAGAGACGGAAAGGAGGACGGAGACGGGACGGAGACAGGACGGAGATTGGACGGAGATGGGACGGAGATGGGACGGAGATGAGACGGAGACGAGATAGAGACGGTGAAGAGGGGACTGAGACGGGGTGGAGACAGGGCGGAAACGAAATGACGATAGACAAACGGATGAGAAATGAAAGATTAAGAGACGAAGAGAAGGATAGCAGATAAAGCCAGTAGGTGGAGGGGAGACGTATGCATGATGAGAGACCGAGCACAACACTAACGAGAGACTGTGACAGCAGAACATAACACCAACGATACACTGTGACGACCGAACATAGCACTAACAGTAACAACTGAACATAAAATTAACGTGAGACTGACGGCCGAACACAGATGTAACTGGAGACTATGACGGATGAATGTAACACCAACGAGAGACTACAACGGACGAACATAACAGTAATGAGGAGTTTCGACGGCCGAACATAACACTAACTGGAGACTGCGACTGTCGAACATATCACTAACTGGAGACTGTGACGGCCGAACATAACACTAACTGGAGACTGCGACGGATGAATGTAGCACCAACAAGAGACTACGACGGACGAACATAACACATACTATATACAGATCATGCGACGCCCGAACATACACCAAGGAGAGTCCGCGACAGCCGATCAAGGCACCACAGAAAGACTGCAACGGCTGAACATAAAGCCAATAGGGGACTGCAATTAACGAACATAACACCAACGGGAGACTGCGAGTCTACGCCCATGGATGATTTCAACAGTCAAAGGAGTCCATGAGGGGGATATAAGGCATAGGCATTGAGCCTTTTTCATGAATAACCAGAACATTTTTTACTAAACAGAATATATAGATAGCGCTTTTTTATTATATTTAAGAATTGACCATGAGAGGGAAAGTTTTATTAACCAGTCCGTGCACGTTACAATAACGCATATGAGTGAAAGTGCCGGAAGGGGTCAACAAGCGCTTCAACAATAGGCCGTTTTTGTTTTCCTTATGTGTAAAAATGGGCGTCTCCCATAGTACGTGGGTCGGCTACCAGCTAATGGCTGCAACGCCCAGCTCAGCCAATAACTAACAGCCCCGCCGTGCCGCCTGTCGCTGACAGTTACCGGCCGAAAATGACTGTAACTTGGAGGCGCGGCTCAGCTGGAGGAAATTTCACGCCTCGTCACACAGTTGGCAGCGGGAATGCTGTCTGTATGTATGTCTGTGTGTCTGTGTGTCCGCCTGTTTGAAGAAGCGTCTCCAACGGTCAAAAGGTCCTTGAACAGAGACGGGACAGAAATGGAACGGAGATAGGACGGGAAAACGGGATTGAGACAAAGGGACGAAAGAGACCAGTGGATGAGAAATGGAAAAGTAGGAAGACAAAGTAGGAGAGGAAGGAAGGCGAATAGTTTGATGAAGAAGAAGAGACGTGGACAGGTATGCATGGTATGGGTGGCGCGCGACACAGGGCGGGACCCGTTCCGGCCGGTCGGGTACCTGCCAGCCCGGCCCGGGCCGACTGACTCCTGTGCTGTTTGCCGTCACGGCTCTGCCGCTCCGGTGATCGGCTCCGTCCTTTGAGTCATCTGTCCATCCTTCCTCCCCGTCGTCTTACCCGCCCTTCAGAAAACGGCATCATTTTCCGACATTCGACTACTGGAAGTAATCTATAAAACAAAACAAAGAAAAACGATTTTCTTCCTTGAACGGCTTTTTTTCATCGTCTGTTCCCCGGATAGTGTTCCGTTAGCCGTTCCCCTGTCGTTGCTCGTCGCGCTGAGCTGAGAGTTCATCGCGTTCGTTGAGTATGCGGCTGCACCGGCTGAGTCATGTCACGTCTGCGCCGCCGATCGGTTCTGCTATAGATGGCGATGGGCACGTGCGTCCTACACGGTAAGATGGACCGTCTCAGGATGACCGGGCGGGTTCGGAGCGGCGGCCGCCGTTTGAAGGGTTACAGTGGCAGAGTGATGGAGGGGTGGTAGCTTACATCATCCGCGACACAGCTCCATATCATTGAGCTGGCAGTGAGCCAACCGCCTGGACATCGACGAAGGGAAGCTCTCATTCATGTAACGTCTCAAGGCAATTTTGTTTTCTCTGATGTTGATCGTCTTTGTTTATTTATTGAAAACGTTATTTTTGAACATTTAATTTGTTTGATGTCTGAACCATTTAAGCTAACGATTATCTTTTAGTCCAGATAGGATAATTAATCCGGGGTGCGGCCATGTGCGCGCTCCTCGTTCTCAACTCTGCGCTTCGTCTCTGGTTCTCGGTCCTGCGCTCCGTCTCTCGTATCTCTCGGTCACTTTCTCCGCCCTCGCAGCTCATCTATCTCCCAGCCGCCGAGTCCGTCCATAGGAGAGCGTCCGCTGGCCCTACGAGGCCATTGTGCCCGCCCGTAACGGGATTCGGCGGGCGCGAGGACAAAAAATCGCCTGCCGCCCCACCCGGCACCCGGACGGCCGGCTAGAAGTGGATAGGGTTTCAGTTCAGCCCTGAGCTGCGGTGCGAGAGATTTTTCAGAGGGCTGACACTCCTCTTGGCCTGTCAGAGAAATCTGGATGATGTCACATACCTATAGCTAGGAGGAGAATAGGTCCTTCGGCAGACTAGGAACTGTCAGCGAATAGTTGAAGGTAGCGTTGCATAACCGGATATGGAAAAGCCTGTAATTGAATAAAACACTTCAAAAACTAAAAATATATTTTTTCTTCTGATGCGATCCTGCATGTGTGTGTCGTACCTTACTAACGCTTTTCATCGTACTATTGTGTGCAGGTGGCTCTTCAAGTCAACAGTTACACGGCTCCTCTGGGGCGTTCCACGACAAATCGACAAATAAAAAATTAAATTTGCACCCTCATATTTTATTCTTCGTTGAAAACTGGTGTAAGGGGTTGTGATGGGCGGGGAAGCCAGCTGTGGCAAGGATTTTTTTCTTCGAACAACTGTTTCCGAGATATAGCCTCGGGCAATTTCTGGATTTCGCGCTGCAGCCCTATGTTTGGCGGCCTATAACTCAGAAACTATTGGTTTCTTACGATAAAAACTTTATATGGTTCAACTCACAATCAACCAACAAACATTTTGGCTATCTCGGATTTTCAATTTTTGAAAATTTTGATCACGTGACCTTTTGTCCTATTTTTCGAAGAGTGACCTTGATATTTTCCCCACTGAAAGTTGCAATTTTGTCTGATGACGATTAAAGCCTTATCGATTGTCATTCATATGCGATAATAAAAAAAGTGGTTATCGCCC